ATGGAAATATCGAAGTGTTGTGAACTGTGGACTTCTACCAGCACCCTCGAAATTTACCTGATTTTAAAGTCAGTCTCTGTCTCACAGGTGAACGGATTGAGGCGAGGCGATCCTTAGGAGTATGCGAGAGTTTATCTGGTGATTTGCTGGGACGAATCTAAATATATTTATTATACCATCTTTTTTTTCGAACAATTCTGGAAATAATTATATCATTAAAATACAAATATAAAAAAAATAAAAATTAAAAAAAATTTAAAAATAATATTCAAATGATATTAATTAATATATGAATTTATATTAATTAGCCGATCGCAAATCCTTTGCATAGATTGTGATTCTACCTTTTTATCGATGATCAGTTTATCTTAATCTTATCTCCCACAAATCTAAATTTAGCCAGTGTGATTCAGTATACTCTTGCCAATGATTCATCATTCGTGAAATTCCGTCAGTTTTTGGGGTAAAATGCAATGATTATGAGCATCTCTGGCAATGACATTGTTCTTTAAATTCGTGTAAGAACAGAAACAACTAAAAATAAACGACATCAAAGAATGAACTCCCAGCCGCGACAAAATTCATAATCACTAAGTAGCGATTAAGAAGTTCAAGAATATAGATGGCCGAATCGGTTAACAGAGAGACCACAAAGTCAAGAACCTCCTCATAATTCTTTGATAGTGAAGAGCTCCTGATAGGAGTGTATGCCAGCAAAAGTATATTATTTCGTACAGTGGACTGAAATAATTGAAAGTAGCACTTTAAAACAATAAAAAGTGATAAATCTCAAGGATCAACATTAAATATCAGATAGGATCAGTATCGAAAATTCTGTTCGCGCAAAAAATTCGTTAAACGCACACTTGGCCGTCCTGCAACACGATGGAGAGACTCCCTGAAGAAACTTCAAGAAGATGCGGGCCAACACTGGGCCCAAACCGCTCAAGATCGTCAAAAATGGAGGGAAGCGTGTGCTCGCCGCTGAAGATCATCGGCCCATAACGACCATCCAAGTATGTATCCAAATAATATCCCGCAAGGTCCGGGTGTCCCCCAAGAGGCCCGTCGCGCGGCGAAGGAAGAGACGCAGATGCGGCAAAGGACGAGTCGCAGCGCGTGCTGTGCGATATGAGACGTAGTATGGTACACTCTATTTAACCTGACGCCTAACCGCTACAGTATGCGCTGCGACTCGTCCTTTGCCGCGTCTGCGTCTCTTCCTTCGCCGCGCGATGGGCCTCTTGGGGGACACCCGCAAGGTCCGTACCCTGGCAGGTGCGTGAGATGGTAGGCGCCAAACAATTCGTTTGACACGCGTCGCGAGCACCCTTTTGATCGGTGGTTATGGGGACATCCAAAAATATGTAGCGTATGTTGATGATAAATCACATACCTAGCAGTCTACGGATCGCCTTTAAAAAAAAAGGGGGGGGGGTGGATAAAAGGCAATTTGTCTCCACATTCAAGCGGATCAAACTACAATATGCTAAACTCAAGTCAAATGCTCCCAAATCAGAAATGAAGGCTTTTTCCATTTTACCAGGCAAATCTGCCCCGAAAACATGACGCACTAGTCGAGCTCAACGGGGTCCTCCTCGGCTCTTGTGCCATTTAGACGTTTTCTGAAAATTGGGTTTCGAGGGGCTTTGCACAGTCAGACCTAATTTTTTTCGAGAACTATCCATAATGTCTTGCAAGGGCCAGCCGATGTACTATTCAGTGTTTTTAGCCTTTCAGAAAAGGTACCAATTAACCGATCATGGTCGAATGGAGGGCTCAGTGAAAAATGTGCTCACACCTTTAGGTAGCCCGCCCACACCCTAGTTCTATTTGGCCCCACTTCTGCTTCAGAAAAATGGACGCTTTGCTAGAGGTGGGGCGGGGAAGAGGGAGGAAATTCCCTAAGACTAAGCCAGGGAGGGGCAGGAATATCGGAAAAATAAAAGTATTGCTCACGCATTGTGGAGCTTCTTCTTCTCAAGGCTTAGTTCCGCCCTCGACAGAAATGAAATGTTTGAAGTGCACTGCAACCACATTGCCCCTGTATTTTGCGATAGCGCCGAGAATTGTAAAGCATTAGAGGCAATGAGGTCCTCCAGAGTGGGATCAATATCGCTTATTCACTACTGATATCGCTACAAAAGGCGTTAAGTGGACTCTTAATGACGACCATTTCAAAGGGCTCGAATTGATAAGGTGACAAGGGACTATCGTCAAAAGAATAGCGACTAATGAACCCTTCAGTACATGCAGGAATTTTTCCCATCGTTGGCCTACAGTTCCTTGTAGATGAAGGAACAGCAGCTAAGTCGACTATAACTGGAGCTCCTCCTCTGCCCCAGGAAGCCGACCTTATCCCCAGCCGAGCTGTGCTGTGGACAGGCTACGTGAAACGGTGAAAAGAATTTCCGTTCATGTTGATGACAGAGCTTCGTTCGCGTTTTATCAGTTTGTTGAATCGCAGATGGTTTGCCATCTGCGTTCCTCCGCACAGCTCCAAATGTCTTCTAAGCCGCCGTTGACTGATGTAGCTGTTTTTACGAACGTTGTGATTCATCCGACGACATCTAACGGTGTGATTCCCGTGTTCAAAAATCGTCCCGATGACAAAAGTTACTGTAACACAACGGGGTGCTTGATCAATTGTTCTGTACTGTAGAAATCTCCGAGAGTTTCATTGTTGGTGTGGTGTGTAATTACGTTATCAGCTCATCATTTTACGGCTTTCTAAAAACTTGACGTGATACGGCTAATACTCCTATCGCTATACTGTCTGTAATCAGTGAACGTTCCCAGGCACGTTTTCGTCGCTATGGGTTCACTAGAGGCTTTTCATAGACCAGTATAGATGTGAGCAGCTCCTGGCACAGGTCAAACCATTGGGTCGCTGAAAATTTGGGGTCAAAAGGACCTTGGCGCCTCTCAAGCAAAACAAGATTCGAGGGTCTATTCCAGTTAGGGGGGGCATCATGATGCAGTTTCTCGGCGAACTAGTGTGAAACTCGAACATTCCAGCTTTTCACGCATGTCAAGTGACTGCCCTCACCCCCACCCCCTAGACTGGCTACACTCCCCCTGGCTCGGAGTTACCCTAGCTTTCTGGAAAAACTGCATCATGATGCCCTCCCCCCCTAACTGGAATAGACCCAGATCGATTCAGTGATCATTCCTAAAAAGACCCTAGTGGTAGTCTAACTATTCTCTCTTCAGCCTACTTTCCCCGCTTTCAAAAAAAAAAACTGTCGACCGGAGAAGGCAGGAGGAGGGGCATGGGGAGGAAGTGGGAATCAACCTCACGGCTTCAAGAGGTGCAGACATGAGTCTATACTTTCACCACTTGGCTATCCCTGCCTAGGGGAGGACGTTCACATTCCTTCCAAACGCCCAATGCTAATTCCACCTACTACAGCCTCCGTTCCATAATCCACGAAATGGTTCCATTCCGCCGCCGCCTTCCTCCCCCCCCTCCTCCCTTTGACATTTGCACTTGTTGCCCAAAGGATGATTGACGCTATCTAGGAGATACCAGAGTAAGAAAGCAACATCAAAGGTTCGCTACTCACGGGAGTTCCTCATTTGGGTTGTTGATGTTCCTGGAGAGTACGCGAAATCCTCCACATAATTCGACTACATCTCGATTTCGTCCAGCAAACAGTGCGCAAACTCGTCCATCATTTCTCAAGTAGGCGTGGCCAAAGACCTCGTAATGTTGGCCCTCTCCGTACCTAGTTTTGGTTATCCTGGAATTAGTCATTTGTCTTCGATGGCCATGGTTACTATAAGGATTACAGCTAAAGGATCGAAAAAAAGAAAGAAGAAAGAGAGAAGAAAGGTGAAAAAAGCAAATATTTGTTTTGGATTCGTATAAAAGCGACAATGATAGTGTAAAAACAGGTTTTTGAAGGATGACGAGGAAGTTTACCGAGGGATTTGGTAAACACAAAGTCCAGCAATCGACTTACCAATAGGCTACCCATCCTGACCGGATATCTCCATCGCCTGATTGTGGAAGAGTGAGGAAGTCGCTTGTTGTACGGCCATTCCTGAAAAGGAAATCACCTCCATTGCTTCAGAAAAATCCATTTTGGATTCAAACCGTCACCTCAACTGTCCCATCGTAGCCTACTGAAGTCCAGTATTCTTCACCTACTACTGAGGGCTTTACACGGCAATTTCTCGGTATTCGAATCGCCAGTTCCTGAAATGATAAGGGTTTGCCGACGACCTAAAGGGAATGACCCCTCTGCAAGAGTCGGACTCACCCGGACTCGGCTTTCGCGATATCGGCATCGTCCATCACAAATGGAAGCTAGCGCGGAGAGCAGTAGGAGAAACACCCAAGAGGACATCGTCTGAAAATCAGAAAACGTTCGGAGTTGTCGGAAGCGGAGGAATTTACGAAGTGTGAAAGGGAGGCGGGGATCATGGACAAGAGGTCTTCGTGTGCTTGTGTGGAATTTGTGGCGACGATGACACACAGCATTGGCACCCCCGCGGACGCAATTTTTGAATCTGCGGGCGGTGACGGGGGCAGGATGACGCCATCCTGGAATTCAATGTGTCACTTGCCACGAATTCCTCACAATTTCTGATAAGTCAAAATCCGAAGATTATTCATCAGCAAGTGCAGATAAGGCCACAAAAGCTGAGCTGATCATTTATCATAGAATGGCAGCTGCTGTCTCATCAAGGCGAACCCCGAGGTGGCTCCCGGGGTCATCTAGACACCATGAGGTCCCGTGAATTCTAAATGGCTTCTGATAACTCATGATCGAGATTTTATTGGCTAAACGAGTCAAGATAAGATTGGTAAAAACAGTGATTGACATGGGCGTGGTATGTTGCGGTTCCTCGGCACAGCTTCCTTTGGAGGCTCACTCTCAGAGGAATTTGTTGCCAAGCCCGGGTATCAGGTGACAATTCGTGTGAAATT